TAATAAGACTGTGTAAGAAGCTCAGTAAGTGATGACTAGAATCTTTGTCAGTAATAAGAGTGATAAGTAAATAGATATATAAGTTGAAATTACTGTAAGAATTGAAATCAATTCATTCTGTTTTTCACATTTTCTATTTGAAGCTCTATAAGCAATGCTCTGAGACAGAGCTGTCTTAGCTGAATAACATTGAAATTGAGAGTGATACTGAATATCTTATAAAGAAAATATTAAATAAGTGAATATATTACAGTAAGCTTCAATATCTTATAAAATAAGAAGATTATTTCTTATCAGAGAATTTATAAGAACTGCTTGAGCATTTGAAAAATGCTGAGAAAGAGATTGTAAGTTATAAGACAGCTAGTAGAGACTACTCTGTTACACATCAGAGATATTGAGTAAGAAATATCACTTAAGACTTCTCATTTTTCTCAAAGAGTTTTTTAAAGATAATCTTGTAATAATAAGCTGATATTTTATGAACTCTGTAGCACTCTTCTTCTATTTTCTCTTAAAGAATTTTTAGAAGTTTAATGAAACTATACAAGTATAAAATTCCTGAAGCAGTTAATAAGAAAAGAAAGAAATATTTGAAATTAATAAAGATTAATATTATCAATCTACAGACTACTGCTATTCTAATAGAACTACAGTCTGCTGAAAAAGTAAAAAGAGAGATCAGAGTCTACTCATCAATAATTATATTCTCATTAAACTTATTCTTCATTATTGAAGTCTCTGACACTGATATTTTTATCTGCTGAGAAGTTAGCACTGTAGAAGAGTATGAGAAATGTATGAAATATTAATTTATCAACTTACAAAGTATCTCAGTTATCTGCTTTAATTGAAGTGAGATTCTCTTCAATCAGTAATTAATCTCTGTGATACTTTTAATAGTGATACTGACTGATCTCTTCTTAAGATCAGTCATTCTGAGATGTTTTTTCATCTCAGAGACTTACACTTTTATCTTCTTTTATAGATGAGTAAGAGAGATCTCTTCAGTCTTAACAGAATTCATCAATACTTGAAGCTTTAAAACTCTCACTCTGTACTGCTTAAGCATCTGAGCTTCTTGTCAGAGCTGATATAATATCTTCTTATAGAATACATAAATACTTACAGAGAGATAGAAGTTATTATTACAGATATAATAAAAATAACAGAAGTGAGAGAAGAAATAAGTATATAAGATTCTTCTCTTCTTCAGCTGTTTAGTGCAGTGCAGATAAGTGACAGTGTCAGTTAGAGACTGTATTAAAGTCTTCTCATAGAGAGAAGATAAAGAAACTGCAGAACTCTGTAAACTCAACTCAGCAGTATTCTGAGCAGAGCTTAAGTATATTATAAAAGAGAAACTACAGATTGAGCTTCTTAAAGTCACTATCTCTGAAATGAAGCTCTTCTCAGAATTCTCTCTGAATAATCACACAGAGTTATACATTACTGTGTTAATTAAGAGAGAGAGTGATGTCACAACAGCAGTAAGAGAAGATAGAAAATAAACTGAATGCAGATGAACTAATCAGCAGAAGAAATAACATCTCACTGCAAGATACAGCTACTATTACCACAGCTGCAAGAAATGCAGAAGAAGAAGAAAATATGATAATAAAAGCAGTGCTTCTGCAGCTCATTGACATTACTGTCTCTGTCTTCAACCTGGCTTTCTTGACAGTTACAGATAGACTGACCGCTGAAACTATGAATTTCACATTTGATTTCATTTGATCTGATCTCATACATTTCTTGATATGAATCCTGCTGAGACTAGTTATTAAAAAAACATATAAAGTGACTATATATGAGATCTTAAAATGAAATCATGACTTGAAAAAAATAAGAAAGTGATCTCATTTAATCTCATTTAGTTTCATTCTTAGTATAAAGTTACTATTTTTAGACATTTTAAGGTTTTTTTAGACTATTTTTAATTTTTTAAAAAGTAATACTTTTTGATAACACTTAAATGAGATTTTAAAGTCATTTAAAGCAATAAAAATAATTTAAATTAAGAAGTGAAAATCATAATCTCATTTGAAAAATGTGATAAGAGTAGACAGTAAGTCTCACTGAAACAGTATAAAACTACTATCTAATGTTAAAACTGTGTAATGAGATCAGTTGAATTGATAATGAAACTATTAAAAAATCTGATTCTGATCTCAGACACAGTTACACAGTCAGTCTAGTTACAGAGACTGCAGTTACATTATAAAGATATTTATTACTCACTAAAAAATGTCAGAATAAGTTCTTTATTATCTCTCAAGAACAATGCTTTCATGCACTCACTATTACAAATGAAGAGAGAGAGAAGAAAAATGTTTCACAGAGAAGAGAATCTTTTTAAAAAATTCTGTCACTACTGTTAACTTTGTCTCTAAAGCACATCACTTTTGCAGAGAATTTTATATAAAGAATGAAATATGATAAGAGATCTGTAAGTCACTTATTAACTACATTTTTCACATTTTAAATCAATATATAAGAAACTCACTTATTATGTGTTTAATTTGAATAAAGATGAGAAAAGAAAAATCTACACAGTCAGCAGAAAAACTTATCTATTTCTTTATATTATGTATAGCACATGTACTGTTAAATCAGTGAATAACTATTACTATACAATAAAGATAATTTCTAATCTGATAATCTTAAAAGTATTAAGACTATACTCTTAAAGAGAAGAGTATTATCACATCTCTGACTATATCAAGATCTCACTGCAGTTTTACACAGCTTATTACTTTTATACAGATAATTTCATTCATCTTATAGATTATTTAAACTGATTTTTAATCACTCTATGATATTATTCAGATATATTATAGAAAAATCTGATTAATGAATAAGAGAATCTTACTTCTATATAAGATCAGCAGATTACTCTTTCTTAATAGTAAGATACTGCTGAGATATTACTTCAATTATTCTCACTTATAAAATAAGAGAAGAGTATTAGCTCATTATCTATATAGAATAACTAGATACTGACTTCTTATTAAAGAAGTCAGTGATTTATTTTTCTTCTATTGAAATATATATAAGAGTTACTGTATTTCTTATACAATTTTCTTAGTATACTAAGTATTATATCTGTGATATTCTCATAATAACTCTGTAGCTTATGAGCTTGCTATTTAAGCAAGATAGTTAAGCTTACTTATATAACTTCTTAAATAACTATCTCTACATAACACTGCTAACTAGCTACTACTTCAGTTCTGCCATGTTATAAGAAGCTTTATTAAATTTTCAGATTATTAATTAATTAAAATATTTATCAAAGAATAAATCTGCTTATTATTAAATTAAAATATTAAACTACTTTGAATTAAAGATGAATTTAATAAAGTTAATAACAGATTTAATAAAGAATTTAATAACAGATTCAGTGAAAGATTTAATAGTAAAATCAATAAAGAATTTAATAGTAATTTAATAAAGAATTTAATATTAAATTTAGTAGAAGATTTAACAGCTGATCTGAATATAAATAATAATAAAATTATGAATTTAGTTCTTGTATTTCTTTTATTATATATTTTATCATCATTATCACATTGATTATTTCACTTGAGAATATTATATTTGAAAAAGTTGAAGCTACTGAAGTGAAAGAAAAGTATATAATCACTTATATTTGAAAGATTTATATAGAAGAATTGATTATAAAAGCTGTAAATTCATTTTTCTAATTCTTCTTCTTCTTTTTACTTATTAATCATTTTATCATTTCTCTTGTTTTTTATCTCATTGATAATCATCAGTTCATACAATCTGTATAGAATCATTGAAATGTGAGGCTCAGAGGTAGAGATTTATAAATATCAAGAATTCTCAGACTGAGTTTCTATATTCTTATTCACCTTCTCTATCTCATCATTGACCAGATCCTCTCCATTATCCGGAACTTCTGAAATAGGTAGTTTGAGAAGACAGTGCAGAGTAGGAGCCTTGTATAAGTTTGTGAAGCAGCAGAACAGAAGAAGTTGCGAGGCATATTGAAAAGAGAGTTGATTGATATATGTGAATTTGATGATAAAGGTAAGAAAGACGCGTATTTGAATGATATTTGATTGAAAAAGACACATATTGAATGATAATTGAATGATTCTAGAGAAATGTTGATTTTTTGATTCTTTTGTAGTTGTTTTGCTACTAATTTTCAGGGTGCTGGGAAAATTCTGTTTTCGCAAGCAATTCGTCCGCCACAATATAACTTAGTTATATAGATATTTAGTGCGCACCGATCGGCTCGGCATCGGTATATATCGAACCTCGCGCGTGGCCAGATGGCCGCCTTTGGGGGCGCACCATGACTGAATGACTACCCAATCTACCCGGTATAGGTATACAGGTCAGTGGTGTACTGTACTGTGAAGGGCGTAGATTCGACGAGCGGGGGATTGACGTGCGATAATGAAGCACGGCAGGCGGTGACCTGTGTGGATTTGCATCTTGTGAGGTAGTTAACTAATAACCGAGCATGCAGCGTGTGTCTCAGCAAGAGCAGGATCACTAGGCAAAGTTTTGGGGGAGATATTGTAATGAGGAGATCGGCGACATGCGTTGCTACCCTTCTGCTCTGGCAAAATAAACATGCGGAATCTCAGTAATATAATTGATTGCCTGCCTGGATAGTACCGATTATCGCCATGCTCCATCACTGCTGGCGCATTGTACAGTATATTTCAATATGGAACTAACTAGTTAATGTTGTCAATACATCAGATTATGACTTAAAACTTCTGTTATATCCGATGTAGCCGAAAAGGCGATTACAAGTAGAGTCAAATGGAAATAAAATAGATGAAAATCACAGATTAAGCCCTAAAGTCGGTCGCCAAATTAATCCCCAATTCCCACTCCAACGATACCCTGATTGTGGAAGGGAGAAAAAAAGGAGAAACAACTCATGTCCACTCTCCCAGAAGGAACATCCCTCATCTAACTAACCCATACATTTGCTCATTTCAATGCACACCCCTCTACCCCCCAAAGCTTCGCACCGGCAATACCTCTGAAACACGCGGCACAGCCCACCAATCATGCCAGCGCCCCTTCGAGCCAACAGGTGGGACGTCAACGGATAGATTCAGTTTCGGCCGTTGATCACCATTTTCATCGCTCGAAGCAGAAATAGCCTTCTTCACCGTGCCAATGGCAATGCTCGCCCCAATACACGCGCGCAGCGAATCTTTCATATCACCTATCCAGTCATCCTGGAGCAGTCGGGGTGCGGGTTCAGGTTCAGTTTCTGGATTGGCACACTTATCCTTTCCGTCCAGCTTGTTCGGTTTGCTCTTACTCGCTTTCTCACCAACGTCGTCGTCGTCATCGTCGTCGTTGTCACCAGCATCACCATCCTGCTCGCCAGCGCGATCGACCCCAACTTCCAAAAACGCGCCGGCCGCCAAACACTTCTCGATCCCCCTTTTCGCCTCCGCAACGGCCCGCAACGCCCTCTCCAGAACGACGGCGTCGCTATCCCCGACTAACCCCGCCTCCTGCTCGAAGGTGTCGAAGGGGACAAGCTCCGGTAGCGGGATGGCAAGGAAGGGTTTCATGCGTAGTTCGTAGCGGAGACGGTCGGAGGAGTAGGTGGGGTGCTGTCTTTGGGTCTGCGTCTGTTTATGTGCGGAGAGAGTGGAGGAGGGGAGGTATATCGATGGGAGTAGCTGGTGGCGGGCTAGGAGGACGTAAAGGGCGTGCAAGGCGATGGCGAAGGCGTCGATGGCGATGAGTTCGGTTGTGAGTCTGTCGAGCAGGGAGATTGTTTTCTGGAAGTCCTGTCGGTGCTGCTCTGCAGCGGTCGCGTTGGAATTCGATTTAGGGTTTTGTTGCATTTGTGTTTGTGATGGGGACGGTGCGGTTCTCTTATTTGCAGCTAGTACACAAGAACGGATGCGATCGAGGTGAGCGAGATGTGTTGAGCAGAGGTGCGAAAGGTACCAGTACATCCCTGGCATTTCTTCGGGGGAGTATATCGAAAGTTCGAAGCCCAGTTGGAGGATGAGACGGAGCTGGCGGAGCTTTTCATGATATGCCCAGCTACTTAGCGGGTAGGCGTAGGTGGGTTCGCTGCCATGGAGGATAATGTGTGGCTCCAAAGTTAAAGTGCGCAGATGGACATCGAAATCTTCGGCCTGAGGGGTTCGAGCGGGTGAGAAGGATGTCACGATCGTGGTTGAGGTAGATCTAACGAGAATTAACATACCTCTGCCTGTAGCGCATCCCAATCAATAATGGAGTGGCAGAGCGTGCGGCGAACTCGACACCGATTCAAGCACGCAGTCCGATAGGTATCGACAAACGGCTATATAATGTACCATTAGAAAATCAATACCAAAAAGGCACAAAATAAACATTGATAAAACCATAGTCGAATTATGATCAGGTCCCCTTACCTGAGCAGCCTTTTTAACGAAATTATTCATATGCTTTGCGATCTGAAACCGGGAATCCGACGGTGCCTCCACTTCCTCATTCTTGCGGTCCAGCAGCTGGTTATAGGGCAAGACAAGTTCAGCAAGACTATCAAAGAAGAAATCTTTCACAGCCACCGAGCCTAAGATCTCCATATCATGTACGAGAAGCGACTGAACAAGAGATCGGATATAGACGCATGGCTGCGGTTTGCGAGATTGCAACGTCCAAACCAATGTCTATTCCAAAGGAAGAAGGGGGAAGATAAATGTGATTTGTTAGTGAAAAACAAATGTAATACAGATGGCCCCTTATCCAACGATGGATAGGAATAAGTAGAAAGGGGGATTAAATAAATAGGTAAACATACCTGTAAATTATAAGGCCCCCGATATTCCAAAATCTGCTGCACATCCACCGCATCCTGACAAAACCGCTTCATGTGCGCAATAGCATCTGCGGCACTAACATGAACCATCGGCCTAGGTGGCACGGTACTTGCCAACCGGCGCTGGATCTTCAAGCTAAACGCCTCTGGCACCGGTTTGCCCAGGTGCATCGACTTCTCGATTCTACCAAGTTGACGAAGAGCGGCCAGGAAGGGCTGCGTGGACCGCTGTTTGGCAGGCACCGTATCCATATCTAGACCAGAGAGGAGCTCTCGGCGGAATAGAAGACGGTGGACGAGAGCTTCGAAGAGAGCGTTGTCAATGGTGTCCCTTTGTTCCTGCCTCTGCGTTTCCAGCCAGAACAGGGCATCGTCGAGAATGGCCTGGATACTCGCTGATTCGACATCGGCGAGCAAACTGCGGTTATAGAGCTGTGTGACGAAATCCTCTTCCTATTGTACCCATTTTTCCATTTTACGGAATAAAAAGTTAACCATGTCCAACCCCTCAAACCCTACGCGGTCCCCTCCCCTCCCTTTCCCGAAAAGACGTCCGGCTTTTAAAACTCACCTCATGAAAATACTCCGAGCTGACTTTGTAGTTTACACGGTCACACGCCTTAATGAGGGCCAAGCAATACGCCCTCAACACAAGATTGACGAGTTCATCCCATTGGCCCTCAGAACAGCCCTCCGCTTTCCCCTGCCTTTCCTCTTCACTCCTATGATCCGAGTTCGCCTGCTGCTTACTAGCCGAACGGTCAAACCTCGCCTCCTCCAATGACTTGGGAACGGGCCACAGCATCCGATCGAGGTATATAGAAGTAAACAGCGTCTGTGGGAGGGGATGGCCGGAATGCCAGGCAACCTAAACATATGATCCAAAACATTAACAAACCCCAGCCCAAAATCCTGTTTCCATATCCCATATCCATATCCATATCCCAATTAGAATCCGTCCTTCTAGTTCGAACACTGAAAATATATCCGATAGGTATTAAACGCACCTCATGGCTCAAGAGTTGGTCCATAATCCCCAAGACTTCCGCTGGGAGTAGCTGCCGCCGGACGTCGTAGTCGTCATCTAGTGTTTCGCCGGGCGCCAGGTATCCGCTGTCCATTTTCTCATCCATGATCTTTTCATATATATATTCATAGTTAGATAGATAGGTAATACTACTATAACGCGCATGGGTCATCCAGGTGCGGAGAAAAAAAAAAGGGGGGGGGGGTGGTGGCCGATTTCTCTCATAGAGGGTACGGCGGGGGACAAAAATCGGTGCCCGGGTATTTGCAGCAGAGGGTAATCTGAATCCGTATAAACAGCAACGTATACAAAAGACGCACCTCCAGCGCCCCCACTGCCTCAAACAGCGTGAAGAATTCATCCTTGACGAGCTGGCCGGTGTTCAGGACTACAAACCGCATGGAGAGGAAATTGAGTTAGCCGCAAATGCTCATCATCGTGGACGAAAGCGGAGAAGGGCAGGCAATTAGGGGATAGAGTATTCATTCTTGGTTACACACCTGAACTGGCCTTTGTGAAGGCGGCGGTTATATCTTTCACGGACATCCTGCTGTCGGAGACTATACGCGGGGAAGTCGAAGTGGTGGTGTTTGGGCGCATGGTGGTGGGTGGTCGTGGCGTAAAGAGTGACGAAGATGGGGGAGCCCGATTAAGCCATGATTATGTACAGAGGCAGCGATAAATAGGAAATCAATAGCAGACGATGATAGATGTGATATTGTACAGATGATGTGATGAATAAATGGCTGGTGGTGAGAGCGTTGGGAGGAGTACAGGACGTTGACATTGGGTTGAAAGCTACGGGCGGGGAAACCGCCGAGAAGCAATCGGGACACGACGAGCAGCAGGCATACGGTTACGGGGGATTCAACCGGCCCTAGTTGTTATTATGCCCGGGAAAATAAATGGATAGGAGGTTCCATACCCAATTGATAGGCTAATCTAGCTATAAAGCCATGTATTCTCTTACAGAATGGCAGTTACGGTGTACTCTCCGAAGGCGTGGGTAAAATAAATATTTACCTAGCCAGTTTCACCACATATATACGTAGAGATAGAAGAGACTCCACTTGCCAATCGCAAGCACCAGTCCTCGAATTGACCAAATGAGATATAAATCAATTGACATATCGACCAGTGTACTATACATGTACAAGAAAAAAAAGATTTGGGGAGGGAAAGATGTGATCTTGTTTGCATCAATCCCACACGGTAGCAATTCTATCAACCTCCACCGTCATCACCTCATCGTCGTATTTAACCCCATGATATACCCCATCCCATGTCCATCGATCGATCCATCCATCACCAAGGAGGAATAAGAACAGTCTATTTCGACGCCGCAGCCGCAGCCGCAGCAGCCGCAGTCTCTACCTGCGCTGCGGCAAGATTCTTCACTTCGCCTTGTTTGCCATCCTAAAACAGATAAACAATTAGCAAATCCATCATCCGTTCACCCAAGCCACTATCATATCTCAATTCTCTCTTTCTTCAACCGTTCCCCAAGCACCCCATCCCGAAACCCCCCCCCCCCCCCCCCCAATATAGACAGCAAACACTCACCTCCCACTTCGCAAACTTCAAATCCATCTGACCACGTCGCTCGGCCTGGAGGCGGGGCTCTTCCTTGAGAGATCGACGGACGGCACGGGCGGCAACAGCGAGGTAGCGGTTGTAGCTGTGTGTTGGTTAATCAATTGGATATGCTGTTAGCATATTTCCCCATGCTGCGGGTGGTAGAAACATGTTGGGGCATAAATGATTTTGATTTGCGGGATGGAACGGAAACAGGTAGATTGAGTGAGAGTCAAAACGTACGTGAGCCCGGCGGCCTTCCACGCAAAAGCCATGGCTTTTTTTGGTTGTGGATGGTTTTTTTTTCGGTGGGATTGGGGAGAAAGGAAGGGGGGGGGGAGGAGGTAGGTAGCGTTGGCTGAGATGTCGCGGGTTGAATTGGATTTCAATTGAACTGTTCAAGACTTCTTTCTTTCTCTTTGACGCCGATGAGGATGGAAATGCAGGAAGGGCAGAATCTAATCCTTTTTCGGTTAGTGTGATTGGCCCTGGTTTGAACCAACTTAAGAAATTCAACTTCCGCAAACCAACCACTTCTCCGGTATCCGGCAACGGCAATGTGAAAATTTATCCATGCGCCTCTAGATATGTTTCTTCCGCTGGCAAGGTCGCAGGCTACTGAAGGACTTAGGCTTGCAGGCGGAAACCTCTCCTCCCGCAAGTCCTAGTGCCATATGCCTCGCCACACTCCCGACCACTATGGATCATGTCACTGTTTATAAGCTGCTCTCTTGTTCGCAGAATGCAATAGATCATTACAGCAATTCGGGGTTCAAAATTCAAATTCAATAATTAGATGTATGTCCGCACGTATATATGCCTTGTGTGCGTAGAGATTTAAGATGGGACACTGAGATGTCTATAATATTTAACACTTCGACTAACTAATAGGGTGTAGGATAGGTGATACTCTCCAACCATCAATCTAGTGGGGAGAATAATTGCCCATGAACTTAAAGACTTTGCTGGAAATCTATCAATCAAGTAGGGAAATATAGTTTATAGTGAGGGAAGAGAGAAAAGAAAAAGGGATGATAGAAAGAGTACAGGAGAAAAAGATTGAAGACAGCCCCAATGCCGTGCCAAACCGTACTTTATTAGTCCTGGAATGGCCAGAAATGTTCAACACACAGGACATCCTCTTCATCCTCACCCTTGTCGATCCAATGTTTCTTCAACTGTTTATTGACCTCCACAACTCTCTCAAACGACTCATTTCTTACCCATCCATCTTGGCCAACGTCGTCCAAAAGCGAACGCCAGTGCTCCACGAGGAGATTAGACTTGAACCAGTTCTCTTCGAGTTGATAAAAATCCTTCTCATCATCCGGGTCAAAGCGGACAGGGCAGGGAGCTTTCTGTAGCCTAGTCGACATGAGAGTATCCCAGGTATTGATCACCCTGAGCAAGGCACCTTTGAGGGTAACGACGTTACCGCTCCAAGGTCGGCCAGGCCTATCCAGAAGATGTTGGGTGAGCATGAGCATTGGATAGCTCAGAGCGTTAAAATGAGGTTTGTTGTCCTTTGCATTGAAAATCATATACAAGTAGAACAGCATTTGCCGTCGGTACAGCTCGTCAGCTTGAGATTTCTCCTCCGGCCCAATGATCCATAATCCTCCGGCAGGGTGGGTTTAGTGTAATCTTTGGGAGGTTCTGAGTCTGGGTTTCGAATAGTGGCGGATTCCCTGCGGCTAGCAACAAAGGGAGGATGGTAGTGTGTTGCCAATCGATTATACATGACACTTCGCACGAGTCAGAGACATAGATATTTGTCGGGTTGAGATCTAGTTTGTCGGTTAGCCTGGATGCGCAGAAAGAAGTGTTGAATCGCACTCACCTGGATGGCGCATCGTGGGCTGATTCATGGAATGCGCATGGTCCCCCGGCAAGAGGTATGGACAAATAGAAAGATACTTGTCTAGCAAATCCACGTATATCGCAGGTGCGACTTCTCCTTCGAGCATAGTATTCTGGGGAAAATCGTTGGTCTGAGGTTTTCCATATTGCTAGTCCATTCCCTCTCCTTCCAACCGATGGAATAGAGATAATCGCGATGATTTCTCCCTGTACAAAATCATTGGCTAGTACATATGTTAATACCGCATCCGAACAAAGAAGAGGCTCACAAGGGCCCCTATTTAACTCAAGTTGTGCACGCTTTCCACGCCAAAACATATATTCAGCGGTGGGGCCAATGCAAAATCGGCGAGCGTTTCCATCCTTATCTTCGACTCCAGCTGCGTAGAGATCCGTCTGGAGATTCTGGGGAAGGCTGTCTTGTAGTAAATACTCTCGTAGGAACCGAAAGGGAATGAAAACAGCTTGCACTCAATCTCCACGTAACTAGCTGGTAACCAAACAGGCTTGTTCTTTGGCCGTAACACCGAACTAGCGTTCCCCCAAAGGATTCCCAGCAGGCTTCTCCATAACGATATATTCACTTCCCACTTCGTTTTCTACGTGGGAGGACCAAGGCATAAACTCGTGGAACGGGTATCCCCTTTGAGCGTAAAAAGTCCATCCCACAGTGCAACTTCACTCTCCGTCGCGAGTCTTTTTGGAACTGCGATAGAGTATGGGATCTTGACGATGACCTCAAGGCCACCAATCCATGGTAAGAAGCAGCACCCTGTTGAAGCCATCGTCAGCAAGTTTCTTCATATGGACAACTCTTTCCCGGTGTACACTTTGAGCAGTGACCTTCTTAAGGGCCTCAATATTTGAACTCGACATATCATTCAGCGAGTCGAAGTTTCTCGTTGTAGAGGTAGCGGCCACAACTATAGGAGAAAAACTCTCGTCTAGGTCACGGCAGATTCGCGGCCACTTCGCTCATCGTGGATTAGTGTTTAACGAAGGAAAGACTGCAAAAAATGGCTTGGGTGGTGGGAACTGGTGCAAGATACATAGAAAAGAGTAGCGACCGAGCCTGGAGGTAAAGGGGTTGAAATGTCGCTGGCCTTAATCTCGCCAGCATCTCCAGCGTCGGTGATAAAAAATTCATATATCAAGCAACGAGACTCCAAAAGGCCAAAAAAAAGAGGAGCATTCCATGCAAGGGAGTTTCCCTTGCCGCCAGCGTTTGATCCCAAGAGAGTGCGAGGACACCGCACCTATCAGGGAGCACAGTACAGTACAGTGATGTGTTGAAGAATGAATATCCCATTACTTCTATTAACATTTTTCATTGGAGTTTGTGTTGCTTCTAATGAGTCCGAATAAATGTTGTGTGCCTGCATACTATTTAGCTAGTTAGTTACAAATGAGAGCTTGTGAGGTGAATCCATCATTCTCAACTAACTATATCTATAAGCTAGTTACGCGCAACTGGTGACATACATTATTTAGTTACTAGTTAATAAGTTAACTACTCAGTAACTCTCAGTAACTACTCATTATTATTATTTCCTCCTGTATAACCAACACTTGGCCTGTATTTAACATCACGCAAGGACTCATCATAAGCTCCGCTTGCATATGAGTATAATGGAAGAATAATAATAATAATAATAATACTCATTATTATTAACTACCCTACCACCGCAGCCTTGCGCTAAAATATTTTCCCGCTGCAGCCAAGCCTCTGAGCTGGATAGCTTTGTCCCCGCTGGAATTTGGAAGAGCGCTTCCAGAATCCACATTGCCGGGAAGGGGAAAATATGTACTCCGTACAGTACAGGTACTAACAACTATGCAGGCTGCAGACTGCAGGCCGAGCAGGAATATCACCGGCTGCCACGAACCCGCTGCATGATTATTACTATAGTACATGTACAGTACATACATCTACCTCGAGCGGTTCCCCGAACTGATTTATTTAGGCGAGCTTTAACGGCAAGTAGCTGGATCTGTTGGCAGAACTTATTTAAGTTAATGTGTCTACCTCACTATGAACTATTTATGCGATGGACTAATAAAATGGTAACTAATTGTTCTGAGTTGTTCCATATTCTGACCACACCACACTAACTCGCCATAGAAACAACAATTCAACTCGCCCTCCATTTTCCCAAATATCAGTCAAAACTCTAGCCTGAGAAATGTACCTACCCTACCGTACCGTAGCGTCCGGTACGGTCCGGTCCCGCTACCCTGGGTCAATCCCGGTGCCATGGCCCCGGTTCGCTTGCCCCCCTCTTGCCGTACCAATCCATAAGAACCCATCTGTCCATTCATTATTCATTTCATTTTCCCACATTACCCCTCGCAGAAACACCATGCTTCTATTTACATGCAAGGTGCCAACCACTTATGCAAACTATAAACTGCTAGACATAAAACGATGGAGGGGGGTGGAGGGGATGGAGGGGTGGCGGTGAGAAGGCCCTTCCCAAAAAATGCGGCTAAAACAACTGAACTGGGTGTCCTTCCCGGGACAGTCCCCGAGTTCCCCATTTTCCGTCTCACTTGTTCCCAGGCATGCAACGCAAAGCATAGCATTGACTGAATGAATGAGTCCATGAATGGACACATGAATGAATCCCGGCTGGATTTGGTATTGTTCTGTGTATTCGGAAAAGGAAAAATGGAATTAACCCTCCGGTGTGGTTCTACCGTTGCCGTGTCCCGACAGTATGGGAGAAAGAAACCAGGAAAGAAAAGGAAAAAGCCACTCTAGGCAACACTCCAAATGGACTTTCATGGTGACTTGTTGTTGCTCGAACTCGATGCCGCCAAAAGTCGGACGCAGGGGATTGGCATGGGTGGGAGCATGGATGTGCTTGCTTGCAGAAGGCTGTGGGAACTTGAAATCGGGTTGCAGTAGAGGAGGGCCGGACGACTTCTTCTTCTGTTCTGTTCTTCTCATATGTTCACAATGCCCGCGCTAGATGACAACCTCTCCTCTTCTGGAGTTTTCTATGTGTCCCCTTGCGGTTTCGAGTTGTGCATGGGTGCATGTTCTCTAGTGTCCTATTCCCTTCCATTGCTGCCATTTCGCCTCGAAAGTCCCCATCCCTGTCTATATATTGATGTCAATATATCAAGAATCCCCTAGCAGGGCTGAAGTAGATTCCAGAGACCGCTGTAGCTAAATAGTCAGTTCCTGAAGCTGTAAAGCGAGAAAGAGAGAAGCAAATCGTATCCTGTCGTATCATAATATGCCTCGTGGTTCAAGAAAAGAGAAGAAAAGCAAAAATAACCCCATTCCCCTAGCCTAGAGAGCCTCCTTCCATGCTGGCTCACGTACCTAACTACTCACTTAAGAGCTGCCGCCTCAATAACCAAGCCTGCTCGCCCCCAACGCTCAACAATCCACTTCTCCCTCCACAACACTCGAGTCTCGTCCAAAACCCTCTTATCCCTTTTGCAATCAGCCAGCTTCATTCTTTTCTTCACCTTCTCCATTACAACTCTGCCTGTCGAAGATATACCTGGTTCATCTCTTAACCACTTCCATCACAGGCGCCTGAGGCTGTCGACACGAGAGCATCATATATAAGCCTTTGGCTCCTTTATAGCCAGACTCTTTACCATAGAGGAGAAGGCCTGTCAGAGAGAAAAAGAACCTCTCTCTCACTCACCTCTCACTCGGTCAGGAGAGGAATTGCAAAAACGCAGCTTGTCGAAGCTGGCCCTTGTCAGCTGTCCTAGTCCCACTCTGGCTTCTTCCAAAAGCTGCAGGACTTGTAAAAGAGCCAGTCTATCAGTGGGCTGAGGAAGCATTTCATAAAGGAGAAAGAATAAATAGAGAAGAAAGGAACGACGACAAAGACAGAGGATACGAACACCATACTCGTGTGTTGTGTTCGTTGATAGAAGCAACGAGCGGGAAACGACGCGTTTGCAATCTCTCTAATCTCTCATCCAGACACGTCTCAATCCACCTGGCAACAGGGGACGAAAAATAAAACATAAACGTAAAAACACCCCTTCACCTTGGAATCAGCAAAAAGCAAAAGCAAAAGCAACAACAATGACCTCAGCCCGCACAACGAAGTCCACGAAACAGCGCAAGGACAGCAGTGCAATCGGCAAAAACAACGGGCAGAATTCGAGAAAACCACCACTAAACCGCCCAAAGAGGCGGAACATCGTTCGTTGGAATGGTGAGTTGTGGTTTCGTTTCCCGCCATTCATTTAAACCTTGCGTGCATAAAATAGGCTATCTCCTGCTAAATCTTCTGTCACGTCTGCAAACCAGGGGATAAACTAACTGCAAAAGCAAAAATAGACATCCTAAACAACAGACTCCTCCTCTGTATCCAGAGTGCCTGCAGCGCCAAGGGTATTAAATTGCCATGGGAAGCAGTCGCTGAGTTGATGGGAGGGAGTATCTCGGATGGAGCAATTACACAGCATCTCACGAAGCTTCGTGCGAAGCTCGAAAAAGAAGGGGAACATGTTCCGCCGCCTTTAAAACGTGCCGGAACATCTGCTGGTGAGGGGGCGAAAGTTATTGATAGACCAAAGAGGTCTATGATGGCTAATGACCAGGTGAAAAGCGATGAATTCAGCGACGACGATGATGATTCGGACGATTCGGAAGATTCAAACGATGAGAGAATGGCAGTTGCTACGTGTTTGAGAAACACGCACCAAAACAAAACCAATAACGCCCAGGAGAACGAGAACGTCGATATTGACAAAGACAGCCGCAGCGAAAGCAGCACGGAATACGTTGCTGTGGGTGCCAGTTTTCTCCAGTTCCCCAACGATCGCTCTCCGCCGCTGTCGTCAAGCTACAAGCACGATCACAACGTTAACGCCCAATTCCAACCCAAGGGTAATGCTAAAGGCAAACCCAAATGCAGAGCTAGCGCGCAGAGTAACAAAATCGCTTCATCATCGAGCGGAAGCTCGCCGCATCGGAAACTTGTCAGGCTCCGTATAGCCCCAAGAGGTAGTGCGAACTGTGATGGTAATCGTGCTGTGGAAAACAATGGTATTGGTACCAATGGCAATGGCAATGGCAACGTCAACGCTCTCAGACGCCGCCTGCCGAGTGTAAATATGGAATCCACATCAAGCGATACCGCGCATGGCAGTCCTGAAAGTACGTGGGGCGTAGCAATGGACGTGGTGAGGAATAGGGAAGGAAGGATATACGGCACTGTGACAGTTGGGCAACCTCACCAGCAGCACTACCACCACGGCCAGTCCCCGTATGGCTGTCCTGGATCCGATGGAGGGTCTCCCCATATACCCCCTGCGGAAATGTTGCGGCAGCTCGGCCACCACGTCGAGTATCCCAATCACAGTCGTAACAATCACATGGCCCGCGCTGGGTTCCAAGAAGGAGGTAGTTCTTTCGGCATGAACCCGAACGGGGTAGGAAGGCTGCACGGCGCCGCTTCACCATACCAGGACAATACACATACGTTCCCAAATGGCGGCATGCCACCACCTCACTCACTGCCATCGAACAATCCGGCCATCCCTGCCCCCATCCCCGTACAAGGGGGCTACTCCGCTAACGGAATGTGGCATTATGGTCGTAACAATAACCCGTACGCAAACATCCCACACGCATATCGCACCAATATCACAGATGACCAAAGGCCGCATCATACCACACACAACCACAATCACAACTACAATCGCGATTCGCACACACCCACAATACCCCCAACAGCCCTTCCATACCACCACAGCACTGACACCGGAGCCAGGACTGTCGGAGGAAGAAACGAGATGGAAAAGCCCCCGGCCGCGCCAACTACATTGATGGAGCATGCACAGATACCCGTCCAGCAAAAGGAACAGCAACCGGATGAGCAGGGCCAGATGCTAGAGGCAGCAGCGCTAGAAGACCAAGCCGCCATGATGGATGAATTGGACGATTTGCCACAACTGACTAATTTCGACGCTGAATTCGTTCACGTGGATGGGGGTCATGTTGAAGACCTTTTTGGTGACTATGGGTATGGGATAGAAGGGGTGTTTTAATGGAGCATAGGCTGGCATGGCGGCGGAGGGGAGGCGTTCGGTTGATTAGAGAATGCCTGAAGTAGATTATATACGTGGAGTCGGATGGCCAATGGGTTGCCAAACGCAGGCGTGTTCCACGTACGGTCAAGAAAAAAGGCGTCTATTCGTCGAAATAGCTGGAATGGGAAATGTGAATTTCGTTCGGCCCGCCTCAGTTAAGGACACGAGTTTGGTCATCATCTTTAACGCTTGTTATTCATTTCTTGCTTCCTTTCTTTTTATTGGCTTTAAACCATTCTTTAAAAGATCCCCATTTTCCTTTTTTTTTTTCTGTTTGAGCCCAGATCGCACGGAGAGCAGGTAAAGGAATAACGGTGAAACGATACGTGCTGGTTATATCCCCCTGAACTGAACGGACTCCGTTTTACACTGCTTGACCCCGTCTTTTGGAACACTATGGCGAGAAAATACCCTGTGGTAACTATCTCTTTTCTTCTTAGGTTTGACGATATGTTTTGTTTTTCACTTGTTTTGCAGCTTGCAATAGGGAACAACGCCTACATGACGATCTTTGGACATGGGGGAAGGAAATTTGCTTAAATAACCCGACGCGCCGCGCTTTCAGACACTGATGAGAAGCCTGAACCTGTACAGTTCTATCAGATGAAGCATCTGTTGAACGGATACACTGGCTCTGGCATGTCGTCATATTGATGTCCCTTTCCCTCATTTCTCTTCCTATTTCTTTCCATTACCATTGACAGCTATATTTGCCATTTTCAAGACATACCAAATGATAATAAATGACCAGTCGCTGCTTTTGCTCCAATTATCCTTGTGAAATAGCTCACATGGAGTTTCTGTTCTGCTTCTTCTCCAGTCCGTTCAATGGAAGCTGGACGGAGACGAGCTTCCATCCTGTGGATTGATACATGCTGGAGCGGGCAATTATTCCCAAGGGTATATATTTTCAAACTCGGTAGACCCGTAAATGAATGAATCAATGGGTGACGGAAATGGGAAATAGGAAATAGGACGGATAGAAATTGAGGGTTGACGGGCATCACTCCAGGTGTTACGGAGTAGAAGATGATCCACATCCGGCCTGCTGATTTTATATTGTCGTACAGAAGGACTTGCTGTATGTTTTACAAAGGATCGTAGTACCTCTGTTCTGGGATAGCACCTAATTTAGAACATGTTTCTCGTTCACCTTCGATCTCCCCTTTCCATAAATCCTTGCTGCAGGTATAGTTATACTGTTGGGCTGCTAACGGTTTCGGGATCTCTGAGGGACTAATAAAGGATCTTGGCGGCCAGTCGTCGTTGCTTCTCAGCGGTGAGGTCCACTAACTAGTTATAATTAACTAATGCCGTGCACAGATCGCCTCCACAGAGGACACTGAACGCTTTTCAATCACCTTTTACTTGAGTTACTCGTGATATACTGTATGGACACACAAAGATTGAGAAGATGGAGCGTTCTTCAGAGAATCTATACTCCCACGGTAACCCCTGGTTCTAAGTTGTCAGACTACTACATACACGTCGGTCGGACCCTACCCTACGATGTTTCGGTCCTGGTTTCTTTGATTCCGGCAATCGCGAGATTTTAGTCCACGTCAAGTTACAATAATCAGGCGGCTTTTATTCCGCAGGAACATCGCGATAAGAACCGGATAAAAGGTGCTAAAGACAAAATCCGGTCTTGGGAGGAGGACCAGGACTACCCTACTACTATGTAAGACTTCACTACCACTATTTTGGCTTATTCTTATGTCGAGTGACTTGATATCAACAACCATATCTGTCCATGATAGCTCTGAATGAAGGGTACCTTAGTAGCTGTGTAGTAGTTAGACGTTTATCCGGGCAGTAGGTAAATACTCTAGATAGAATGGAGAGCACATGTTTTCGCTCATCTAGATCGGCCTCAGGACGAAAGTATGCGATTGTTTAAGCAAGGTCATGTTCTGGATGGGGGATTGTATGCTGGTCATACCAAGAATCTAACCTCCGGGGTGAGCATAAAGGCCCTTCCACCCATCAGGCAGTGGACCCCAACACCTGACAATACCGGATATTATTCCCCCTTTGAGAAGGATAGGGAAAGGTGGTTGGCCAAGGTATAGCTCTGCAAAGATGACCATGCAACTCCACATGTCACAGGCAAAACCTGGACATTTCCTATGAAGTCAATCTGGAGAGCAGAGTTGCATAGATGAGTAGCCATGCTGAGTCACAGAATCGCTTAGTTTCATTGCCAGACCAATGTCGCCAAGGTAAATTTTCTCTGTGTGGAGATTCACAGGAATCTCAATGGGATGGACAAGCTCTCCCTGCTTCCAGAGTTCGACAAACGGTATGATTTGCTTTAGCGGCTGACCAAGTGCCTTTGTATTTAGCCTTCCTGCTAAAGCTGTGGAGAGGAACCAATGCCCCACATACAGTTCCTTCCATTCAGATCTGTAGGATATCCATTAGATTTCACATCAACCGAACAGAGAGTGGAAGGCAAAATTCACTCACCACGGTGAACAATTCCAGCTTTGTGTAGGTTTCTCAAGACATACAGCAATTGCCTAGCAGCGGACCTGCGAGTGATTATGGACAGATTTCTCAAGATTGCAGGGTGAAGGCATGGCCCCTTCATAGGAAAAACGAAAACCTTGTGACGACACTTGTTTCTAGGGAGGAGAAACATCACCGAAATATGTCATGAGGCGAGAGACATCCTTTCCATTCTGAAGGATCTCGTCCTGAATGCGGGTTTCATTTTCACCACCGTCCCCCGAAGACATGACTTTGAGGGCTACATCCCGCTTGTTCTGGAGGTCGCGGGCCATCCATACGGTGGAGAAACCCCCAGAGCCTATTTTATGCTCTACCAAGTATCTCTCTCATTGAGTTCTTGTCCGAGGCAAATGGGATATAAGACATGTGCAGTGTCCTTTTCATCGTATTTCTTCCAGGGCTCCATAACCTCCCCGAAGTCAAGCTCCTCATCCTGGGTGCTGACGAAGTCGCCAAAGTCGGCCGAAGTATCACCTTCGAGGTATTGGGGCGCTGTTGCCGTTGTCGCCATCACCGGCACGCTCCTCGAGACAGTTCTATCTAGGCGAGTATTTGGCAACTGTAGGAGATAAATTTGGAAAGTTGTTATCTCAGCGGGCTCAGACCCTCTGGCTCGGTTTGAGCGGGTTGCAGCATTATTAATCTGGCATGACACTAACCTACTTTTGATACAAGTCATGTGCTCAGAGCAATCCTTGTCAGAGAGTCTGAGAAGAAACAGTTTCATCTTCAATGAAGATTTCTGAGATTTTATAAGAATTTTTCAGATTCTTCAACTTTGACTTTCTATTACTATATACTTATATATCTTTGAGATTTGAAAATCATCTTAGCTTATAATTAAAGAGAAGAAGAATAGAAATATTTCTTTAATATTTTAAAAAAATCTATATTTAAGATAGATATATACTCTTAAAAATAATTATATTTTTTAATCTCAGAATTTCTAAGAGTTTTTTTTTTTTTTTTTTTTTTTTTTTTATATAAGAAATTGAATTAAAATTTCTATATTTAAAAATATATTAGTTAACTTTGAGATAATACTTGTCACGCTCCCGGCCGCGCCAAGGCCCCGTTGCGGTTTCACACGGCCCATCGCTTCCATGCGGATGATTCCATCCATCCTGCAGGCTGTCTGAACCGGTTTCCAACTGCTCTATGACATCATTCGGATATATCATAGAAAGATCTGATTGATGGATATGAGAACCCCGCTTCTATATGAGGTCAGCAGATTACTCTTCCTTGGCAATGAGGCGCTGCTGAGGTATCACTCCGGCTATTCTCACCTGTGGAATGAGAGAAGAGTATCCGCTCATTGTCTATATAGAATAGCTAGATGCTGGCTTCTTATCAAAGGAGCCAGCAATTCATTTCTTTTCTTCTAGAGGAATAATATATATAAGAGTTACTGCATGCCTCATACAATCTTCTTAGTATACTAAGTATCATATCTGTGATATTCTCACAATAACTCTGTAGTCTATGAGCTTGCTATTCAAGTAAGATAGTCAAGCTCACTTATACAGCTTCTTAAACAACTATTTCTACATGACACTGCTGACTAGTCACTGCTTCAGTCTCATTACATTACAATTCAAATCACTTGATCTGATTACATGTTTGAATCAGTCAAGCTCTAACAGACTGATATAATCTTACACACCTGTGCTGAGACTGATCTGACCTCACTCTCTGGAAGAAACACTACATCATTCTCTAGAGTGTGTACACCTCTATCTCAGCAGGAATCTGAGATTTCTGAACCTGCTGTGCATTTTGACATGAGCTCTTCAATCATCCTGTCACTGCCGCAGCCCCTACACACCTACATCTATCATGAAGATAGAGAGATTAAGATCAGAGATTCATCAAGATATAAGAGAAACATCTTGTCTGAATTTCACAGCTTTATCTGTACTCTTGAACAGAAATTCTGCCTTAATCTGAGCCAGTATAATACTCATGAGATACAAGTAATATACACTGTCAACCTTCTTGAAGGCATCTCTGTGACTACTTGAGTTATCAAGAAGAGAGAGCTTGAGCATATCAATGCTGTCATAACTTGAGAAGAATTCAAGAACTTTCTACTGAATCAAATTGAAGATTACTGTAACTGCAGCTTCACAGCAGTGCAGCAGTTTAACTTATTATATCAACAAGATGATGAAAATCCTTTCAATTTCAATGCAAGATTTGAAGAATATTGAGAGAAATTGACTGATGATTTGAATCAATTAAAAACACAGCTTTATCTTGTGAAGCTGACTCACAAAGTGCAGACAATGATATTACAGTATCAGAGTTCATCAATCAATCACACTGAGCTTGTCAACCTGACTTTCTGAATCTATTTGAATAATTAATTCTCTGAGAAAAAGGTCAATAAGATCTCTTCTAAGCAATCAATGATGAAATCTAAACAGTGTCATGATAACTTCAGTGCAGAGAAAGTAAAGAAGAATTTCAAGTATTCTGATTCTTCACTCACTGTGAAGAAACACTAAAAAAGATTTGATAAAGATCTCTGTTTCAACTGTGAAGCTGATGATTACTATATCAGTGATTGTAAGAAGCTGAAGAAGGAAAGAAACTGAGAAGACATCTTCTCAAAGTCAACTTCTCTTCTAGCAAACATATTCACAGAAGATAAAGAAGAGAAAGAAAAGGATTGATAATTCTCACATCTTTGAGTTCATGTTATAATCACAATGCATACTCTGAATGAGAAGATATCAGTGAGATGTCTACTTGACTCTGAGATAAATGCTAACTTCATATTCTATTTCTTTTCTTTGATGAAGAATTGAAAGAAGATAGGTCTGTCAGATCATGCAAAATTTACAGATGGAACAAAATGTCACTGTTTTAACATAATTCAAGCAAAGTGTGTGATCACAGACTCAGAAGAAATCTTCAAGAAGAGCAGTCTGCTTCTTCACACAGTCAATATCATAGATGAGAATGTCATTCTAGGTCTTCTGTGATTGAGAGAAAACAATTCTCTCATTGACTGAGTCACTCAGGCATGGCAGTACTGCCTCACTGATGAAGAGGCAGTAATAGAGGAATCTGAAGAGTTCCATTGAAAGAATCTTGAGAAAAAGATTGAGTTGATATACTGCATAGCAGGTGATTGAGACTTGAGAACAGGTGAAGAAGTCATCACTCTCACTGCAAGATTAGCAGCAGTATCTGTCATTGAAGGTGAATATACACAATGTCTCTTTACAGATTTTAAGAATGTCTTTTCAGAAAAGGAAGCAGTGAAGTTTCCTGATATCAAGATGTGATATAAGATTCATCTTGAAGATAATGCAACAGTATCATACAGGCCTCTTTACAACTTGTCTGTAAAGGAGTTGAATGTTCTGTGCAAATATCTTGAAGAAGTGCAATCAAAGAACTGAATATATTCATCAAAGAGTTCAGCAGGGGCGTCTATACTCTTTGTGTCCAAGAAGGATGATAGACTATGTCTATGCATAGACTACAGAGGTCTCAATAAGATGACAGTTAAGAATTGCTATTCATTACTGTTAATTGATGAGATGATTGATCAATTATCTGAAGCAAAGATGTTCTCAAAGATTGATATACAGAATGTCTATTATAGAATCAGAGTTAATGAAGATAACATTTGAAAAATAGCTTTTCATACCAAGTACAGCAATTTTGAATATCTTGTTTTATCTTTTAATCTTTGTAACACTTCAGCCATCTTCCAGATCTATATAAATGAGGTGCTGTGAGGCCTTGTTGACATCTCCTGCATAGTATACCTGGATGACATTTTAATCTTCTTGAAATCAGAGAAAGAACATGATATCCATGTTTGAGAAGTGTTGAGTCACTTGAGACAGTATCAACTCTATGCAAACACTGAAAAATGCTCATTCTACATGCAGAAGATTGATTTCTTAGGTTATATTGTTGAGGTGAATGGCATTTCAATGAACAGGAGCCAGGTCTCTGTCATTGAGAACTGATCAGCACCGCAGATGTACTGTGAGATGCAGGTGTTTCTAGAATTTGTGAATTTCTACAGATGATTCATCTATGCATATTCATGAATTACTGCCCCCCTTATGGATCTGTTGAAGGGAAGTGTGAAAGGCAGGAAAACAGGACTGTTTATTCTCACTCAAGGCACTGTGCAGGTGTTTACAGAATTGAAACAAGCTTTTGCAGATGTCATGATACTGAATCATTTTAATCCCAACTTACTCAGTCAGTGTGAGACTGATGCATCTGAGAATGAGATCTGTGAAATCTTTTCACAGTTGACACTGAAGGCCTTTCAATGTTGAAAGGATCAGGGAATAATCATCTCTGAGAAAACAGGCAATGAATTGTCTGTGAGAGAAGACTTTTTCACAGAGTCTATAAGATGCTGTGAATGAAGATCAGTGACCTTCTTCTTCAAGAAGTTATCACTCATGCAGAAAAGATATGATACTCATGATCAGAAGATGTTAGTAATTGTTGAATCCTTTAAGATCTGATGACATTATCTTCAGAGTAGTAAGTACTCAGTGCAAGTTCTCACTGATCATGCAAATCTGCATTACTTCTTGATAACAAAGAGCTTGACAGAATATCAAGTCAGGTGAGTGAAGCTGCTTTCAGAGTATGATTTCTATATCTGATACTGTTCAGGTCAGCTTAACCTTGCTGACACACTGTCTAGACAGTCTGATTATAATATCATTGATATGAAGAAGAATTCTACAAAAGGACCTCTGTCATCACTGTAGAAGAAGCTGGCTGCAGGGGGTTGAAGTTCTCTAAAGCTTGGGAACAGCGCTGAAGAGACAGCTGTGCAACTCAGTATAGAAGATGAAAGAGAACCTGAGTCTCTGCAGAAGACTGACACTGAAGATCATGAGCTTCTTGTGTCATATCTTACAATCATTAAATTGATAAAGAATGAAATGATCTACAACCTTTCAATCTGACTACTTTTGAAATTCATTGATAAGTTACAGAAGAGGAATGCCTCTACTGCAGCTCAAATTTAAAAGTTGAAGAAGAAAGGATTCAGTTTGAACTTGAAAGAGACAGGCCCTGGGCAGGGTGATGCTGCTAAGAAATCAAGTCACTGATAACTAGAAGAATGTGAACTTCTACTGCTGAATGATTCAGTCTTTGTCTCTTATAGCAGGACAGTGTGTCAGAAGTTATTAAGAATTCATCATAATGATTCTCATGCAGGACACTTCAGGTTAGAGAAGACTGAGAAGCTTCTAAAATGTAAATATACTTGAGACAAGCTCTGAGCAGATGTCAAAGAGTATGTTGAAACTTGCAATGTCTGTCAAAGAATAAAGATTCTGTGATATAAGCAATACAGTGAGTTGACATCACTGCCTGTTTCAAAGAGCTTATGACAGAATCTATCAATGAATTTCATAGTTGACCTGCTGAAGTTGACAAGAGTCAAAGAATATGACTCAATTTTGATCATTATTGACTGCTTCATGAAGATGACCAGATATATTTCTACTCACAAAAAGATTAAAGCCTCTGAATTGACTGACCTGTTTTTAGATATCATTATTTGTGATCACAGTGCTCTGAAATCATTGATAACAGATTGAGAATCTCTCTTCATCAGTAAATACTGATCAGCTTTTTACTATTATCTTATAATAAGGTATCTTCTTAGTACTGTATTTCATCTGCAGACTGATGACCAGACTGAATATCAGAATCAGACACTAGAACAGCATCTTCAAGTGTTCTGTTTATATTATCAGAATAATTGACTCAAACATCTTCTGATCACTGAATTCATATATAACAATGTAAAGAATGCAATCTTAAAGATATCTCCTTTCTATGCTTGTTATAAATATAATTCTTTGTTACTCAGTGATGTTGCAGACAATATTTCAAAGAAAGAAATAGACAGTCAGAATGTCAGACAGGTACAGAGAATGAAGTATCTCTCAGTGTCAGAAGTAAAAGTGAGATTGAAGCTTTTGAATAAAATTCATGAGAAGGTGGTGAAAAGTATTCACTGCACTCAGAAGCAGCAGATGAAATACTATAATTGAAAACATCTTTCAATGAAGTTCTTAATAGAGGATCAAGTGCTACTTTCAGCAAAGAATATCAAGATAATGAGACTGTGTAAGAAGCTCAGTGAGCAGTGACTAGAATCTTTTCTGATAACAAGAGTAGTGAGTAAGCAGACATATAAGTTGAAATTACTCACAGAATTGAAATCAATTCATTCTGTTTTTCACATTTTCTATTTGAAGCTCTATAAGTAACACTTCAGAGCAGAGCTGCCTCAGCTGAATAACATTGAGATCAAGAATGATACTGAATATCTTGTAGAGAAAATATTGAATAAGTGAATATATTACAGCAAGCTTCAATATCTTATCAAATGAGAAGAATATTCATTATCAGAGAATTCATGAAAACTGCTTGAGCATTTGAAAAATGCTGAGAAAGAGATTGCAATCTATGAGATGACTAGTAGAGACTGCTCTGTTACACATCAGAGATGTTGAATAAGAAATGCTACTTGAGACTTCTCATTTTTCTCAAAGGGTTTTTTTAGAGATAATCTTATGATGGTGAGCTGATGTCTTGTAGACTCTGTAGCACTCTTCTTCTATTTTCTCTCAAAGAGTTTTTAGAAGTTTAATGAGACTACACAAGTGTAAAATTCCTGAAGCAGTTAGAGAAAAGGAATATTGAAAACTAATAAAAAGATTAATATTATTGATCTGCAGACTGCTGCTATTCTAATAGAGCTACAGTCTGCTGAAAAAGTAAAAAGAGGGATCAGAGTCTACTCATCAATAATCACATTCTCATCAAACTCATTCTTCACTGTTAAAGTCTCTGGCACTGATATCTTTGTCTGCTGAGAAGTTAGCACTGCAGTGCTGCAGAGAAGCATACTGCAGAAGAGCATGAGAGATGCTGAAAGTATTAACTTATTAACTTACAAAGCATCTCAGTCATCTGCTTCAACTGAAGCAAGATTCTCTTCAATCAGTGATTGATCTCTGTGGCACTTTCAACAGTAATGCTGGCTGACCTCTTCTTGAGATCAGTCATTCTGAGGTGTTTTTTCATCTTGAAGATTCATGCTTTTGTCTCCTTTTGCAGATGAGCAAGAGAGACCTTCTCAGCCTTGACAGAATCTATCAACACTTAAAGCTCTGAGATTCTCACTCTGTACTGCTTGAGTATCTAGACTTCTTGTCAGAACTGACATAATGTCTTTCTGTGAAGTGATACTTACAGGAAGACAGGAGTTGTTATTACAGACACAACAGAAACAATGAAAGTGAGAGAAGAGATGAGTGTATAAAATCCTCCTCTTCTTCAGCTGCTTAATGCAGTGCAGACAAGTAGCAGTGCTGATCAGAGACTGCACTAAAGCCTTCTCACAGAGAGAAGATGAAGAAACTGCAGAACTCTGTGAACTCAACTCAGCAGCATTCTGAGCAGGGCTCAGGTGTGCTGTAGAAGGGGAACTACAGATTGAGCTTCTTGAAGTCACTGTCTCTGAAACCAAGCTCTTCTCAGGCTCCTCTCTGAATGACCACACAGGGTCATATGCTACTGTATTGGCCGGGGGGGGAGGCAGTGTTGCAATAGTGGTGAGGGGGGCAGAGAACAGACTGGATATGGATGAACTAATCAGCAGAAGGGATGACATCTCACTGCAAGGCATGGTGACTATCACTGCAGCTGTAAAAGAAGCAGGAGAAGAAGGAGATGTGACAATGAGAGTGATGCTTTCACAGCTCATTGACACTGCTGTCTCCACCTCCAACCTGGCTTTCTTGGCGGCCATGAAGGCTGCCGCTGCACCATGAAGATGTTTGTTACTCACTAGAAAACATCAGAATAAGTCCTTGATTGTTCTTCAAGAATGATACTCTCATGCACTCACTGTTGCAATTGAGAGAGAGGAAAAGAAAAATGTTTCATGAGAGAGAGAATCTTTTTGAAAAATCCTGCTACTACTGTTAGCTTTGTCTCTAAAACATATCACTTTTGTAGAGAATTTCATATATAGAATGAAATATATTGAGAGATCTGTAAGTCACTTGTTAACTATGTTTTTCACATTTCAAATCAATATATAAGGAACTCACTTACCACATGTTTGGTTTGAATGATGATGGGAAAAGAAAGATCTACACAGTCAGCAGAAAAACTCATCTATTCCTTTGTATCACACACAGTACATATGCTGTCAATCAGTTGATAACTGTTGCTATACAACAAAGATAATTTCTAATCCAGTAATCTTGAGAGCATAGAAACTATGCTCTTAAAGAGGAGGGCATTGTTACACTCCCAGTCATGCCAAGGCCCTGTTGCAGTTTCACATGGTTCATTGCTTTCATGTGAATAATTTCATCCATTTCACAGGTCATCTGAACTGGTTTCCAACCACTCTATGACATCATTTGAATATATTATAGAAAGATTCAATTGATGAATATGAGAACCCTGCTTCTATACAAGATCAGCAGATTACTCTTTCTTGACAATGAGATGCTGCTGAGGTATTACTCTGGCTATTCTCATCTATGAAATGAAAGAAGAGTATTCACTCATTGTCTATATAGAATAGCTAGATGCTGACTCCTCATCAAAGAAGTCAGTGATTCATTTCTTTTCTTCTAGAGGAATAATATATACAAGAGTTACTGTGTGCCTCATACAATCTTCTTAGTATACTAAGTATCATATCTGTGATATTCTTGCAATAACCCTGTAGCCTACAAGCTCACTATTCAAGCAAGATAGTCAAGCTCACTCATACAGCTTCTCAAACAACTACCCCTATGTGACACCGCCAACTAGCCACCGCTTCGGTCCCGCCACGTTACAATACTTCTATTCTAAAAACTTGAGATATGAATATAAAAATCAGATACATTGTGAGAATATTATTATTCTAAGATTTTAAGATAATATAGAAATAATGAATCTATGAAGTTGAGTTGAAATTCTCTTTTATACTCAGAGTAGTAGAGTACTGAGTAAATTATTTCTATGTTACTAATAATCAGAGCCCCGGTGGCTGAATGGTTAATGCAGCCACCTGGTAGCACCTTGGCATGGGAAACCAAGACGCGTGGGTTCGAAACCCGCAGGGGATACATTAAATCCGGAACTCAAGCACCTCAGGTTCCTAATAAATACAGAGGTGTACAAATCGCTTCAATGAATCGCTCTATGTTCCTGGGCTGGGAAGTTATTATCGCATGTATCTAATTGTCACTTCTTTGTATTTCCTATGTTCTTGTTATCTTGGCATGGTCTCAACACCTGTATTTCCTCCTGTATAACCAACACTTGACCTGTATTTAACATCACACAAGGACTCATCATAAGCTCCGCTTGCATATGAGTATAATGGAAGAATAATAATAATAATAATAATAACTAATAATCAGAAACTGTTTCTTCTCAGATACTTTGTAAAATATCATCACTTACTATAGACTACTGAGGTAAAAGAGCTCAATCATCATCAGTACACTGCTAGTAGAAGAGCCGATCAACTATAAGACCTTCAATACTTACATGACCTGATTTTACTATTTAAAATTAGCTCATGACATAATTATCAATTCAGTATTAAAACAGTAATGAATATCTGAAGAAGCTGTAGAATAGTTGAAGATTATATTAATAGATCTATTTACAAGAACATAATATAATGATGAGTTATATAATCTAGTGAGATTACTAACTGCAATAGCTGTAAGAGTTAACATCTTCTCTTAAGATAATAAGAATTATATACAAAAACACTCAAATTATTAAGATAGTCTGTCAAAACTAAATACAAATGTAAAATTAAACATTTTCAACTTTTACATTTGTAAGATCTAGTAAAATCATGAATTGTATAAATATCACAGTGTCTAGAGATTTAGTGAGTTCATCTGCTATTATCTGAGTAATGAGAATGTATTTTAAATTAATAACTCTCTAATTCAACTATTAATATAAAAAATGAAAATGTGTGTTAATATGCTTACTTCAGACTGTAATGACTATCATCTTTATAAGATCTATAACACTCTTATTATCAGTGAGAATCTGTATTGAAGATGTAGTAATAAAGTCAAGCTCAATTATGAAATTCTGAATTCATATTACTTCATGAACTGTCTCACTAAGAGTTATATATTCAGTCTCATTGAAACTTAGAGATATATAAGATTACTTCACTGAATGTTATGAAATCAGACTATCTACAAGTTTAAAAACATAGCTGAATGTTAATTTTCTATTATTATTCAAGAGATTAGCTCAATCAGAATCTGAGTAACTGAAGAATAGATAGAAATCATCAGAGAAATGTAGTTCGGAAGAACGTATGACTGTCGGATAATAACGCGGCTGCTTCCGAACTACTAGCGTACGCGGCCGCTTCCGAACTACTAGTGTACACAGCCGCTTCCGAACTACTAGCGTATGTGTATGAGTGTAAAGAGGCCATAGCATACGCTAATTAATTTAGTGTATGAGATTACAATATAAGAAGCCAGTGTACACCTGTAATCATACACTGACTTAAGCAACCTTTGAATCATATCTGATAGCATGTCTAAAAAAATCAGTAAGAAGCACAGGCTTCTTCAGAGCATGATAATTCTGCCTATAAAGCAATTTGTAGTTATCATGTCAGTGTGATCCTAGAAATGCCTCAAAAGATAGTGTATAAAGAGTGATGAGTAGAAGAGCATCTGATTGATACTACTTCACTTATTAAGGAAAAACTTCACACTCAGATGAATGCCATATATGAGACATGAACAGATGAGATGTGAGAAAGAGAATAAGAGCAGTGAACCAGATTCAAAGAAGTCTGCTCCCTACTTAAAAGAAGAATAAAAAGAGAGAGGTGATCACTACTGAAGTTATATAATAATAACAGAAATCATATAACAATATAGCAATATAATGATATAGTGATAGAATGATATATTAATATAATAACACAGTGATATAACAATAGACATTGTACAATTAATAAGAAATCACTGAAATGAATACCTCTTCTAGCTAATACAAATAACATTCTTCTCTACTATCTGAACTGAAAGATATATAGAACCTTTCAGAGAATTTACTCAAAGCAGTAAGAAAAACAGCTGAGATTACTGAATCAGAATTGAAGCTTTGTATATGTACAAGGATTCTAAATGAAATTGAGGCCTTGTGTAAACAGTGACAGATCAAGACAGAAGTTAAACAATAATTAACATTCACTGTGAATTAAGCATTCACTATGAAGAGCTTCATCAATATAATTATTATTATTAATAAGAATAGAGAAAATCAGATCTTAGACCTGCAGTAGAAGATTGAACATTTACACAGATAGATAACTACACTGAATCTGAAGATCTTACTATAATTATTCACAATCTCTTCAGAAGTATACATATTATCAGAGATCACTGTACAGAATGAGAATTCAAGTATGAAATACATTAAGCTGAAAGATCTGCTGAAGTTATTAAGCTTTAATAGTGACTGAAAAAATGATGCTGCAATCAGCTGACTAAGTCAGATATAATCATATTATTGAATTGAATATGAATTCACAGACAGACAGTCAATGAAATTTCAACAAGTCTTAAGATCTGCTGTGTTTCTACATGAAAAAGCAAAGTTATTATAAATAACTGATGAAAAGATGAATCTCACAGATCTGAAGTGATATTCATTTTCACAAATATAAAATAAGTTTTTCAAGTGAATCTTGCACAACTTTGAGAAAGTGAATATATGAGATAAGTATTATGAACACTTCACTGAGTGTAGATAAGTGAGTGATCTTATATTATACTTCACACACTTCAGCTTACACTATCTTGTATTAAATAAAGAGCTTTCAATATCTTTCTGTTTACAGATCTTCATTCATGATCTTACATCTGAGTTAAGAGCAGAATGAAAATGCTTAATCTCACAGTCAGGCACAGTGAAGAAAGTATATAATATTCTCATTGTACAGAAACAAGTGAGTCAATTGTGACAGAAAATACTATAATTGAGTATATCTCAGTGAAGAACAGATAATCAGACTTCTATAATACAAGTTATATATCTGAATGCAATGAATCTAGATCTGAATGTCATTATTAAAGTACTGAATTCTCTGAAAAAGAAATTCTCTGAGTGAAAATCTTGATATCATGAGCATTAAGCTTGCTTCAACTGCAGATGCTAAAATCATAATGTAAAAGATTACACTCAGTGTGCACAGTCAAGAGAAGTAAGAGAGTTAAAAAACTAGCAGAATCAGTGAGCTTGAAGACACTTACTGATATTCTATGAAAAGTCTTCAAAGTGAAAGAGATGCTCATGTTAGATGACTCTCTGAATTCTGTGAATATTAAGAGAAAGCAGGCTTCTGACTGAGATACAGATGAGAAAGTGAACACTCATCTCAATGTCTTAAGACCTGAAATGTTAATGTATAAGAGATACTTGAATAAGAATTGAGAGATAACTGTAAAAGTGTTAGTGAACACAGAAGCTTCTACACAATATATTGATAATTATATGATTTGAAGATTGAAAGAAGTCTGCTGAGTGAAGAATCTCTGATATATAAGATTATCTGATAACTGATATTTAATATTACCTGTAAAAGTAAGAGTTCTCTTGCACTTCAGAGAATGATCTTGCTATATTTAAGCACAAGAGCTGCAGAACATAGAATATGATCTTATTCTCAGACTTAATTGATTTCAAAGGTTTAATTCACAGATTCAATGATGTACATGCTATATACAGTTAATCAATAGAAAGAAAATGATTCATACAATTCTATCAA